ATAACATTTTATAAAATTTGCATACAAACCATTTTTACCCGGGCCCCACAGTCAGCCTGCAGTCTATCTGCAGTGGATCCTCAGCCCAGTTAGAGTGAAGATTGACTGCCGATTGTCTGCGGATTGGCAATGAGTTACCAGACTTTGGCGCCTCAGACAATCTTCAGACAATCCTTTGCAAGAGATGAAAATGAAAACAATCGGCTCGGCCGGGCAGCTGCCGCTGGCGCGAGCCGGTACCGAACCCCGGCCCTCGGAGTGGGAGTCGGAGTGCTACGAATTAACCGTCACCCTTGACAAGATTCAGACAACATTCAGGCTATTACTTTGCCACGCTACACATGGTTTTGTTTACCCTTTGCCGGAGCCTGCATTTCAAGCTCTCCGGACCCTCAGGGAATGGCCCAGCGAGGGGCGGCCGCGCGGCTCTGGGATGACCTGGAGATAGTGAGGCACTCCGCCCAGCAAGTCCCGGTGGTCGGGAATCGCCGGCACACCCAGGATAGACGCAATAGCGTGAAGTATCGAAAAAGAACCAATAAAAGTCATATAAAAAAAAAAGTGAACAGCGTGACGGTTTCGCAAGCCAAAAGTCCGAGGCTGAACTCTTCGTCCGGGAAGGCATTTCACCATTACTTCAACGCTTATTTACACGTAACTACCCTAAACTGAAATGAAGGAGAGAAAGGGAGAAAACTGAGGGAAAGGGGAGAAAAAACTTTTTTCTCTTTTCAAATGCATCCGGTGTATAGGAAAATTCCTATACATGGGAAAACCATACTACACCGTTGTATAGGAAAATTCCTACACTTGTATGGGAAAATTACTAGTCACGCATGGTAGAACTCCGACATACGTGTATGGGAAAATGCCCATACATGTATATATAATAGTGTTATAGACATTTATACGAAATCTACTACAGAATATTTTTACAGTGTACCATAAGTACGCGTTATTAGGCTATTAGTATGAGCTGGCACGTCTTTAGTAGAGGCCTGGGTGTACGAGTTCGTGCGCAAGTGATTTTCCCCTCCCAGCTGCCAGCAGACGCTCCAAATCCCCAGAAACAGAAAGTAGTGCCCAACTCTGCGTGCTCTCAAGCCGGTCCGTCATTGGAAAACGAGTAATTACAGCCTCGGAGCAATGGAGACCATCGAGGTAACTGTCGACCAAATCGGTGTGCTGAACATTCCTCTTCCCATGATGTTCCAGCAGGTTATAGTCAGCCAAAGTATGGAGTTTGAACTTGATTGTAGTTCTCAAATCGCCCTTTATCAGTGAGAAGACTTTCCGGAAGCAATAGCCAGGCGGGGTCAAACTGGAGGAGTCACCCTTGAAATTGGCGATGTGACAGAGAAAAAATGTCACTGATAATACAAAAGATTATAAGGTATTATAAGAATATAGTATGATTATAGATTACAGATATAGGTTATAGAAGATTATGGATTGTAGACGTGATTATAAGTGATTTGTAGGGGGTCGTGTACTTTTGACTATACGAGTTTTAGGTAGACCCCTAGACATCACGTGTAACCTGTAAATTCTCGCGGACTCTTAGGGCCAGAAACGTGCCCAAACGATTGTGTTGTCTGAAAAATATCACGGCGGGCCGTAATAAACAGAAGGCCGTTGTCGGTTGCGCGTGACACCGCGGTCACGACGCATCGGCCCGCCAACTGCAGGGACGGCGGTATAAAGGGTGCAGCGATCGGCTGGACGCCAACTCAGGGTGTTTCCGCACAGATATGAACCGTTCCTTGATCGTCTGTGGCGTGCTCATCGCGATGGTGGTAAGCGCATTTTTACGGTAGAGGTCCACGATGATGGTTATTGCGCATATATCATTGTTCATCTCATTGTGTAAATGGTCATGAGTACCACATCCTGCAGTGCAGATACGATTGTGTACACATTATCTCCCGAATATAAATATACGTGGGAGACGTCACTTGCGAAATAGGTCTTATGCACCTGCCCGCAAACATTATGCGAGCTATGTGCAAAATAGTGCGAAATACACTCTAAAAGTATAAAAAGGGGCAATTTTGGTCTGAAAAGGGCATCATTTTTAGCGCAAATATTTACACTCTAAAAGTCGCACCAGCAGTGGAAGCGAGCAAAACAATGTGGTGTACCCCTGAGGGCAGAGTTTGCAATCAGTCGGGCAGGCCCGGCTCGCTTGCCCAACGCTGAGCGACAGCTAGTGCCGTCTCCCTCGCACGCACCGTAATCGCCACCTGACTTCAGGTCGGGTCGGGGGCAGACTCGCCAGCGTGCCGGGCTTTGACCGGCCGATTGCAAACTCTACCTAAGGGGGGCCACTACAACGCATCGGAAATAGAAACGAAATAGATAATGATGTAGTCGCCAAATGGACTCGAAATACCGCGAAATAAATCTGAGAGCATGTAAGGGTAAGGGTCATCTGAATTTGTGGTATCACTGTTAAAAATATTTTATTACACCTCAATAACGTGTTATTAAGCTATTTTCGTTCCAGTTTCTGTAATAATATTAATATTACTTGCATAAGGTGTTGTGATTTTTGTTAACAATTTTTCCCTAAAATTTTATGAAGCTATTTTCATTACATGTCATTAATATGTAATAAAATATCTTTAACATAGTATACTTCTATCACAGAAGTTTGTTATCATTTAATTTTGTAATACCTCCTATTTATCCCTTTTCTGGTTAGAATAATGTTTTATTCAAAAAACGCATGCAATGGAATGTTGGATAAAGTTATCACAAACTAACGTGATACCCTTTTCTAGCGAAATTTACCATATAACGAGCTGCAGTTAGTGCTTTTAGTGTCAATTCCACAAGTGTAACATTCCAATTCGTCTCTCATCGGCCAAGGAACACTACTGGGGGACACAAATGACTGCGAACGTATGCAGGAATTTAAAAAAATAGTTACGTTAGTTGATCCGATTACTTCGATTACTTTTAAGTCTGTAGAATCACGATTTCAATCAGCAAATAAGGAAAACAAATGATACTTCTGACTGTTCTTTTTAAAACTTTGTTTTGTAATTTGGTTTTCGGACAGTTGAATACTTGCGCGAACAACAAACCAACTACTACTCAACTACCCAAAATGCATTGCACGTGTGATCTCGTACTAGGACTAGCAATATGCCCGTAAGGGCAAATACTCAGCCAAAAGTCTCCGACTTCAGAAATCCATAACCAGTCACCACGATTAAAATAACCCGTGCGTAGTGGAACCCTCTGCTTTTTCCCTCGTGTAGTTATTCTGTGGGTTCCAAAGTTCCGACGCTACTCCCTGCGTTAAGTGTTTCGCTGAATGTGATACAAACGTAAATTTATCTAGAAGACGCGTATCCATTCTGGTCCGTTTCCTTTCTTTCCTGAAATGCTACATGCGGCACGGTAACAACCGTCGCAGCACACTTTACGGCACGCATCACAGGATTTTAACGCACTACTTCTTCCCCCTTCACGTGCACCAGGCCGCGCTGGCGCTGGCCAGCCCCGCCGAGAAGCAGCCCCCACCATCCAAGTGGGGCCGCGCTCCGGGCAGCCCGACGGCGCGCCGCACCCAGAAGGACAGCATCGGCCAGCAGATAGACCACACGCACAACATGGAGACGGGCAAGGGCACCACCGGCTACCTGGCTCTGGGTCCCAACGCGCGCAAATCCTCCCCGACGCGCACGGGGCAGCCGAGCACCGGGGGCCCCACCTCCACCAGCTACAAGGGCAAGGGAAAGGGCAAGGGCAAGTAGGCCACGCACCGTCATGCCACGAGACATTTTATTATCTGCTTTTATCTGCTATTATTTGACATTTCGCCATTCGAACCACTATGTTGTAGAATGGCGCACTTGCAACACCCAATAAAATTTCTTTTAAAGATGTTTAGCAAATGATACCTTACATCATATACATAATTGTATATATTACTTTGAAGATGCACGCCAGACCACGTATCGCATAACAGGCTTCGCGATATCTCACGAAACACTGTTCGCTCTGTTCACGCGAAGTGGTGAGGGTGGAAATTCATCGTTACGGTTTTCGTCAAAAATTTGCACAGGCGTCAGCCTACATCTAACTATCATCCATTTGACTAAAGCACATAAAGTGATTTTGCCCTATTTCTTCCGCCCTTTTCTGGAATTATTGCCCAGTAGGTATTATCGGGTATTATAGAGAGTCTAGTGCAGTATGGACTTTTGACCTCAAAATCTTATGAATTTATACATCCGAAACGGAGAGCCCAGTTTGGGAGTGGGTTCATACTTCATGAATACACTAAATTTCCAGGACACCCATAATCGGTGACCAGATCCGTAATCTTGGGTGGATTAGGGAAAGAACTAATCATATGGGCTACGGGCGTTTAGCTCCAAGGAAAATGCATACGGAAAAGAGAATTTCGACGCGTCCTACGAACAAAGTTCGATCTCCTGGCGCGCCGTTCAACGCTGTCCGATCTCCTTTTCGGGGTTTGCAGCGAGG